GACTTCCCCAACAGGCACGGACTTGCCTGCGCCCCTTGGCCATTGCTGCGCCAGTTCTTTACGCTATGGGTCCTCTGGCGAACGACCATAGTGCGCGTTTGGGCTGACTGTGACGCATAGCCGCTGTTGTTATCAGTCAAAAAAGGCCAGGCCACTGCCCTGGTGCGCGTCCAGGGCTGGGGTGAGCGCTGCCCACCAGATGAAAACTGACTGCTGCATAGGCGCCCGCAGTGGGCGTGAGCATGAACTCTTCCTTTTTGCTCAGCGCCCTTCGCTTGACCACGCGCCACGGGCTGGCGGGAAAACACGCCGACCCGGCCCTGAAACCCGAAACCCCCCAACCTAAAGAGTCAGTGGCAGTGGTGCCCCGAAGCCCGAACCCCAACAACCTACACTCCCAACCTAAACTAGACGTAGTAGGAGCCCCCAATCCAAGTGACTGACTCAAAACACCAGCGTGGTGCGTGAGGTTTCCACAGCAGCCTGCCTGACCGTCCCGGGTGTTGACCCACACCCAAGCCGGGGACAGGGGGGTCGCTCGAGCGCAACATTCATGGCAAGCAAGGCTGCGCAGAAGGGGGCGCTTGCGGGGTCCCCTGTCACACTTTCAGACCCCTCTTCATCTCGACACCTCACAAAAAACCTGGCCCCTGCGGCGCTGTGGGTCAATGTGCTTGTCAGTTCGCAATAGCCGGGAGGCTGATGGCTTTGGTAAGGCCCCCTTCTCGTCTGCAATAAGAGCTCAATTCCTGGTTTGCTGGGTGGAACGGTCTCATCCTTTCGAACCTTTCTCATGTGTATTTTGCGAGCCGAGTTCCAAGATCAAGACCTACCAGTGATCCTTTTAACCATGTGCCTCCTTTGTTTCCATTGGAACGAGTCTTGGACTCGTCTTCTTGCCAACAAGACACCTTGTCTCCTGCCTGGGCCGGAAGTTGCGAGATCGAGTTGAATGAGATCTGCTGCTCTTCTTCCGAATGCAAGCAGCCCTGATGGTGTCACGCGCCCGTGCCTGAAGCGTGACAGGCGCTGTTCCTGCTCTGATGGAACTCAGCACGATCTTGAGTTGCAACTTCAAGAGTCGCACTGCTGTTTCCGATTCGGCCATGGTGCGTCGGTCCCAACGAAATTGGTGTGATGTCGAGGGACTGATAGAAAGGTTCCCATGTGTCTGTCATGAAGGCCTGATCTCCGACGACTGCGCTGGGCTGCAAGTGGTACTAGTCAAAATAGTTCCTCAGGACGGTGGTGTTCTCCAATTCTTGTTTTGTGTTCAACGCCTCTGAAATGAGCAATATTGTTGCTCCATCCAACAGGACAACACTGATATGCTCTCCAGTTCCAAGCGGAACTTGACAGTGATCAGTGCAAGTCACACCACCGAATGTGTCTGATCGAAGTCCACTTGTTCCACTTCTTGATGGTGCTTGTTCAGCTGCGTCACACTCACCGCGAACCATCTCGCAGAGGCCGTAAATTGAGTGTGGCAAGTGAAGAGCTCAAGCGGTCGTAAGTTGATGTTGGCAAGAGAAAAGAGCGAGTGCGAAATCGAAATTGGCCAGTATTGAGGCGACGACGCCGGAGGTGAAGCTTCTGCAACTCGTCTGGCTGTGACAGTTGTTACGGTTCCTTCGCAAGGCAAGTGAAACTGATGTTGGCTCACCAACTGATGCTCCCATTTGCTACTGATCCTGATGAGGTTTCTTCTTCGTCCTTCAGTTGTCTGCAAATGTGACAACGGTTTTTACCTGTCCTCAGGTTTACCATTGCTCCGTTTGCCTGCTAGGCAAGCTTCTCGGCTGGACTTATTTGGATCTATGGGGCGTGCCTTCGCTCCTGCTTGTGCGAACAGTGTGCTTTTTGAGGCGTGCTGTGAACACGATTGAGTTTTTTGCTCTTCTTATCTAGAATCCAATGATCCTGCTTCACTGATCCGATGATCTTGGGAGCTACAGTGCCCTCATTCGCTGATGATGACTTCTTCATCATTCACAGCGAACTATCAGATCAACAGAGAGAGAGGCAATGTCTTTTAGGAACACTCAAATAGAACATTACACATGTGAGATGCTGAAGACACAGTATCACGAATTCTCCATCACAACCAGAACCTCGACCCAAGATCCAACGCTTCGACCGCCAGAAGGCTCACGACAGAGAATCTTCTAGATTCTTGAACAAGGAGAAGACGAAGGAGAAGAGGGTTTTTGGGTTGAAGACAAGGATGGAAATGAAGGTTTCATGGGAACCGAAGCTGGGGAGACATTCTGAGTAGAGGCAAAAAGGGCAATCGCTGACGAGGGGGTTTCAATCGCTTAGACGGAGCAGCGCGGAGGGCAAGGCCAACTGGTCAACGAACATCAGGATCCCTACGACCAGGCAGTTCGCGGAAAAGGCAAAGGGGAGAAAGGGCAGAAAGGGAAGTACACGTATCAGAGTTCTTTCGATGGAAACAAAGGTTATCCATCGTATCACGACAGAAAAGGACAAGGCGGAAAGGGCAAAGGGAATTCCACAACATTTGTCGCCGTCGCAGGCAAATCAGGTGAGGAATCCGCCAAGCAGCAGGCTGCTGACCTCTCAGAGCCTTCATATGCCAGTTGGAATGATCAGCAAGCCATGAGATTTCCAGCGCAGGACGTGCAACGATGGCAAGTCATGATGACAATGAAGCCATTGACAAGAAGATGAGATACACTTTCTGCTGACAACCTCTCAGGAACAACAAATCACAGCCTGCTAGCAACAAAGCGCACTGGTCATAAGCGCGCGAGACAACCCAACTTTTGCAATCCTATACTCCTCACCATTGATCAGATGAGGAACTTGCGCATGACCGCTGGGCACACTCCTCACCCCCAGCAGAACCTGCAACGGCAGAAGTTACATGTGATTCTCGGCCGCATTCCGTTAACACACTGCCTCAAAGTCTCCGGACCGTCCGGGTTCAGGGGTCGCACGGGCAGCGCCCCAGCCTGAGTCGCTTTGCTAAGGCTGCGGCTCGTCTCTGACAGCCATCAGATTATTCCAAGCTGCCTTCAGTCGGCGTAGCAAGATCTCAACTTGGAAATGAAAATGAGAAACTCTGAGTCGTGTCTCCTGCGATTGAAGAAGCTGAGGAGTAGGTAAAGACACACGTTGGACGTGCCTTTCAGGAAGAACTTTCTCAGTGTGTTCCGGAAGTAGTTGACTCCTTCCACTGGATCTCTTAGCAAAGCGTTGTCAAGAAGCTCTCTGTGCATGAGTGCGTCACCCATGAGTCTGCTCGTGAGGAGAGGTCCCCGCAACTCTGGTTCAACGGTTGCGAAAGCGGTCCAGTTGTCAATGCTGCCGAACTAGGCCTGCACTTTGTTTGAGCCTCCATGAAGCTGTCTCCCTCTGATGACGTCGTGATGATTCTTGTTGGACAACCTGCTCCACTGCCACAGTTGGGTCGGCAACTAATCGTTGGGGAGATACACACTGTGGTGGCAGCCTCTATCGCCCTGGATCTGTTGCTTCGAGAACCTGATGTCTGATGGTCTGATGGGTTCAATTGTGCTGGAAACCCCTTGCAAGTGTACACACTGGTAGCAAGGGCAGCGAGGTCTTTACACAGGGGCGTTGAGCCAATATTACCTGCGCTTGCCTGAAGGTCAATGGTCTGCAAAACACGGAATACACCCTCATATTTTTGTTGAAGAAGATGCTGTTGATTGCCCATGTTGAGGGTTGAATTTATGGGTGGGGCTGGTCGGCCTTGCAAGACGCAGGTCAAGTTCCATTCGGGGGTTGTTTGGAGTTGTTTTCGAAGTTTTGGTATGTCGGGTTTGTAGGTGGGGGTTGAACTAGTTTGGAGTTGTTTTTGAAGGTGCGGCATGTTGGGTTCGTAGGTGGGTGAAGTAATTCGGGGGTTCAATTTCTGAGTGGTCAAACTGTTAGGTCCCTGGTTGGCTTCGCACAGCTGTTTTTGAAGTTTTGGTAGGTCGGCTTCGGGTTGAACTTCTTGGTGGATTTGGAGCTGTTGTTGAAGTTTTGGTAGGCCGGGTTCGGAGGTAGGTCTGGTAAAGAAGTAATTTGGGGATTGATTTCTTGGTGAGTTTGGATTTGGTTTTGAAGTTTTGGTAGGTCGGGCTCGGGTTGATTGAGTTTCTTGGTGAATTTGGAGTTGTTTTTGAAGTTTTGGTAGGTCGGGTTTGAAGGAAGGGCCGGCAAAAGGAAGCAATCTGTATTTTTTACGGTTTCTCTTTAAGGGCAATCAATCAACTTTTTGGCTCATGCCGAGTTGTTACAGATCTAGTGAGCGGCGCCAGGTGAGACCAAGGAGACCCTGGACTGGCTGGTCACCTATGGGCATTTTGGTGGCCGTGAGTATTCGAGACACCACGATGGTGACGCAAGACGAGAAGAAGGTCGTGCAAGAAATGGATATACAGAAGGGCTCAAGGTGGAAGACCTGAAGAGCGAGAACTACCTGAAGTTGAGATGCGCGACGCTGGAGCGGCGGGGCGCCATCACTCAAGTGCCAAAGCACGCGGTGGCCGCCGGAGCCGGCGAACGGGCTGCGGTAGGCCTTATAGGAGCATTGGCGGATGATTCCTTTGCCCCTCCTGAAGTTTCCTCCAGAAACATTACTTACCGCGGGGTGTGCCTCGAGTTGAAATAGGTTGCGCCTTCGCCCCTTTCGACCGTTCATGGTCCGTGGGCTTTGTGTGCCGGGGACATCTTGATGGACGCCAAATTGTTGTATGGTCTAACAGTGTAGAACCCCGCTGCTTTTCGAGCGCCGGGGCTGGCTTAGTTTTGTGACCAACACATGGCCATCGTTTCCTGCCCCTTCAAAACATCCGCTAGAAAATTGCAGTCCTTCGGATTTGGTCAGGGAATGGCAGTTATCGCCGTACTTTCCGTCTCAATTTCAATCGACCTCCCCTTATGGCGGTTCTTTGGTAGCCTAACACAACGGAAATTGGGAGCACTGGCTCACTTTAACGACCAACGGGCTCAAAATATTCGGCGAGGTCCGGCAGCGGCAGAGCCATGTGGGACTTGATCAGCGGTATCCCCGGCGTTTTTCACCCGAGTTCGTCACTGGTCTTTGCGTCCGGCCAAAGCTCCTAAACCTTCCAACATTTCGAAACGGTTCGCGCAGTGGCGAAACTCCCCAAGGCAAAGGCTTGGTCTTCCGACAGGGGTCCGTGCGTTTCAGGGCTTGTTGGTCGCGAGCTATGTAGATCTATCAGGGACTTGTTCTTGCGCGAAAGATCCGCCCAGTCTAAGATGGGGGCCCTGTGGGTGGCGGCGCAAACGCACGGCCAAAAGAGCGCCCCTATGTTGCCAACCTGCCTTAAGAGGGAGAAGCAATGCTCTGAAGAGGGGTGTTTCTTGAAATGCTGTGTAGAAAGCGTTGGTGTTGGTGATGTCATTGTCCTTGTGGTTGTGGTTGTTGTTGTCGTTATTGTTGTTCTCGTCGTCGTCGTCGTCGTTGTTGTTGTTGTTGCTGTTGCTGTTGTTGTTGTTGTTGTTGTTGTTGTTGTTGTGTTGTTGTTGTTGTTGTTGCTTGCTGCTGCTGCTGCTGCTGCTGCTGCTGCTGTGTTTTGTTGTGTGTGTTGTTGTTGGTTGTGTTGTTGTTGTTGTTGCTGTGTGTGTTGTTGCTTTGCTGTTGCTGTTGCTGTTGCTGTTGCTGCTGCTGTGCTGTTGCTGTTGTGCTGTGTGTTGTTGTTGTTGTTGGTGTTGTTGTTGTTGTTGTTGTTGTTGTTGTTGTTGTTGTTGTTGTTGTTGTTGTTGCTGTTGCTGTTGTTGTTGTTGTTGTTGTTGTTGTTGTTGTTGTTGTTGTTGTTGTTGTTGTGGTCGCCGTCGCCGTCGCCGTCGCCGTCGCCGTCGTCGTCGTCGTCGTCCGGCCAGCGCTTGTGGTTTGCCCGGAGGCTCTTGTCCGGGGAGCCTGATGCGCTCAGATTCCCTTGCGCATGCCAGCTTTTTTTCACCCGCGCCTGTGCCTGGTCTGCCCGATGCGCGCCACCGGCTTTTCGAGGGGTCACTATTTGCATTTTTTGTGGCTGGCCAGACTGCTGCCAGCCTCAACCAAGAGAATGTACCTGGTTTGGCGATAAACGAAGGTCTCCGCGGGGACAGGGTAGACGGGGGCAAGGTAAACCTTGAATCTAAACCCCAAACAGAGGGTTTGAGGGCAAGTGCAACCCTGAACTTAAGCCCGAAGACCCTCAACATAAACCTCAAACTGATAGTTTGAGGGCAAGTTAAGCCTAAACCCTAAATCAAGGGTTTGAGGGCAAGTTGAATCCTAAGTCGAAACCTTGAAGCCCGAAACCCGAACCGAAACCTAAACTAAGGGTTCGAGAGCAAGTTAAACCCTCAACCTCAAATCTGAACTGAGGGCTTGAGGGCGCAGAGTGGTTCTGGGCGAACCACACGTGCTGCGGGTTGTTGTTGTTGTTGTGGTTGATGTTGTTTTTAGCGGTGATGTTGATGTTGATTATGTGGGGTGGTGGTGGTGGTGATGGGGGTGGTGGTGGTGGTGGTGGATGCTCTTCTACTGCTGTTCCAACACTCCTCCACTGCTCCTCTGAACCCGAAGCCCTCTAGTGCTCCTTTACTGCTGTTTCAACGCTCCCCCACTGCTAAACCAACCCCCAGCCAACCCTAAACCAACCTTAGCCACAAAAACAAGCCTAAACACGCCCTAAGCCAACCCTAAACAAGCCCTAGACCAGCCCAACCAACCCTACAACCGGCCGGAACCTTAAACCATCCCTAAACCCAAACAAGCCCTACAGCAACCCTAAGCCAGCCCTAAACCAACCCTCAACCAACCTTAACCCAGCCCTAAACCAGCCCTCACCCAGGGCACGACAAGACACACTAGAGACCCAAAACGGGAAAACAACACAAAAAAAGCGATGCCAACACAAGAAAACCACAAACACGGTCCCAGCAACTTCATTGTCGTTCTTGGGTAACCTTGGCGCGTGCTGGCGCATGCTTACTGCGCAACACTTCGCTCCGGCGCCAGGTTCGCCAAAGAGCAAGCGCGTTCGCACGTTAGTGCTGCATAAACACAACACAAATCCTCTGCGCTTCTGAGGTTTTGCATGTTGCGTTTTCCGGCTGGTTCCTTTTCAGGGGACTTCTCCTGCTTTGAGCCTGTGAGAGTCGCAGTTTTGCCAAGCAGTGGCAGCTACTGAAATCGGGAATATCCAGTGTGATCCCTTGTCCCCATCACCCGTGACTTGCTCTTTGTTTCCCGCCAGGTATGAATTATATTTGCATCGCTTGCCATTCCATCCTGCTGCAAAAGACCGTGGACTTTTGGCAGGCCAGGGGAAGGCTTGGAGCCTTTGACAAGCGATTTTTCCGGGCCAGCCGATCCATCTCCAAATGCTGTGTTGGGCATGCTTCCGGCCCAAACATATCCGAGGTAGAATTTGTTTTGCTGGGTGTCTCCCACATATTTAAATTGGGTATGCCCTTGTTGGTGCCCACGTGCTCAGCCCCAAGACAAGCCCCGCGAGCGCAGCGCGAGTCTGAAGTCTGATCCAGTCAGAGCTTAACGTATTCCAGTTCTCGATAGTTTTGAAGACTTATAACCATCCTCTGAAAGATAGAAACTTTTTCCAGATCTGGCACCCCGACAAACAAGGGCGCGAAACGGAAAGATAGAACCTCTCCCGCAGAAAGATAGACACTCTCCTGTCGCGGAAGGTCTGGACAAGTTTTGGCCTGTAAGTCAGGTTTTGCTTTTCGAAGGCACAAAATTTTCCAGAGCGCGGGGCCGCCAAAACCTGCAGAGGGTTGGTTCCGTTTTCGCACGAATACTAAATTAAGGCGCGCGTCTGAAATATCACCCCCCGTTTCCAATCCTTCTGCCTGCGCGATTCACTGCCAATAGATTCTCAAGGTTGGCTGCGCGACCAAGAAAAGGTTCTACTAACAAAAACTCCCGGTTTTTTCAGTGGTGCTCGGTTTCTCCGAAGAGCCTCGAAGGCTTGGAAGATGAAAGGGATCCATTGAGAGGCACGTAGCAACACAAGCCGCCAGGCAACCAGGCAATGCCATGTTTGTCCGAATCAACATTCAAGAAGCAACCCTGCAATGAAGAAGTGCCATGTTTGTCCAAATTAACTAGCGACAATTTTAAATTGTGTACTGGCTTTCAAATTTCGTACTGGCAATTAAATTTTAGTACTTGTAATACTAGAGTACAGTACAGCCAGCGCTTGTGGTTTGCCCGGAGACTCTCTTCTGGCGGCCTCACGCGCTCAGACCCCTCGCGCCTGCCAGCGTTTTAGCACCCGCACTGTGCTTTTAGAACATCGGCAAGCCTTCGCCGCGGCTTTTCGATAGGTCACCATCTGCATTCTTTGGCACTGCCCTAGGCTCAGCCGGAAGTTAGAAGGTGACAAGTCAAGCTCTCCACGCCCTAAAGTGGGGGGGTTTGAGGCCAAGTTAAATCCCAAAACGAAACCCTAAAGGAGGGGACCGAGGGCAAGCTAAACCCGAAACCTGAGCCTTAATAAACACTAAACTGAGGGCAAGCCTAAACCCTAAACGCAAAACCGAAACTGAGGGCAACCCTAAACCCTAAACCTAAACCCTATGGGGATTGAGGGCAACCTAAACCCTAAACCTAAACCCTATGGGGTTTGAGGGCAACCCTAAACCCTATTTTGAGGGCAACCCTAAGCCCACCAACCCTAAACGGGGGGTTTGAGGGGGTTGCCCTGAGCCCTAAACCTTAAACCCTAAACTGACAACCCAAAACCCTAAACTGAGGGCAAGAAAAGCCAACAGCTGGACAGAGACCGGAAAGTGCAAGAGAGTGGTTCTGGTCGAACCACACGTGCTGCGGGTAGATTTAGCACTGGCTATACTAAGTTTGTTACTGGCGACAGGCAATTAAGTGCTAGCAAAATGAATTTAGTAACTACAGGCAATACTAAATTTAGTGTTGGTAATCCTCAATTTAGTACTGGCAAGCAAATAGTTTGATTTTCCGGGCCAGAAGCCGCGGCAAAAGTTTCTATCTTTCCGCAAGGCCTGAAAAACACAGGGCCCGCGCATAACAGATGTGCGGGACCCGGACATCTGCAGAGGGGTGGCAGAGCTACCCCCCACTGGCCCCCCACTTCTAGAAGGCCTAAAATCGTTTCAAAATACAAGTTTTTGGTGAGAGCTTAACCAATTCAATTCCTCGCTAAAAACTTAGTACTGGCAATGCTCAATTTAGTCCTGGCAATATTAAGTTTAACACTAGCAATATTGCCAGGACTAAACTTAGTATTGGCAGTAAATAGTAAATTTAGTGTTGCCATTATTTGATTTAGTATTGCCAAAATTACATTCGGTATTGCAAGTAGTAATTTTCAGTACTAAAGTCAGTATCGCCAGTACCAAACATAATCAGCTGAGAGACTCGCAATGTTAAAGTCGTCTACGAGGGTTCGTTTCCACAAGCGTTTCTATCTCACCGCGGGACCCCTTTTCCGAAATCGTTTTCCAGACGTTCGGGCTTTTCTATCTTTCCGAGGATGACTATAAATGGGCCGCCTGCTTGCTGAAAACGACGGGCTTATTGGCAAGGAATGGTTCCAGCACCTGTTTCCTGTTTTTGCTTGGTTTCACAAGCATGGTCAACCACACATCTTTTTTAACAAATGGTTTCTGCTCAGCGAATGCGCCACTGGCTGCGACTTGGTTTTGCTTGCGCCTTGTGATAGGCAATGGGGATGAAGCACATGGACCCCAGCAGCGAGAAGGACCGAGTGCGGCAAAGGCCCTGCGGGCTTGTGGCCACATGGGACACGCCTGCCTTTAAATTCATTTTTTCAAAAGTTTGGGTTTTCTTCTTCTGGGAGGTGGTGTTAACCTGGCAAACAACAAATCCGACCTGTTATAATATTCCCACTACCGTCAAACAAAGTAGACCATGTTTCATAAGTTCTGGTAGAAGCGACAGGCGTTGCCCATTTCAGGTTGCTAATGGGGCAGGCAAAGTGTGTTGGCGACTGCAGCTTGGAAGGCTTGCGCAACAGGTCCTCTCATCTGCAAAAGGGAACTTTTCTGGGGGCAGGGTCTGAAGTGGTAAAAGCTGAATTGCTGGGGTTGCCACACTTTACGTTGAGGGTACTGTTAAGCTTCTGGACCCCCCTCATGATCCCCACGCGCGCCCCAAGGCAGGCGCATCAAACAAATCCAATCGGAACCAAGACAGGACTCCGTGCCGATGACACAGCAAGCGCATCAATTGACACGTGGTCCGATCTGAATGGTTCAACTTTACAAACGTGAAAACGCAGCAAGACGCACAAACACAACCTCAAAAACTCGCCAACGCACAAGCGCGCCGCAGCAGCAGCAGAGGCAGCATCCGCACCAGCGCCAGCAACAGCGACAGAAATGGCAACAGCAAGCGCAACAGCAGCAGAAGCAGGACCACCCGCCACCACCGCCGCAACAACAACAACAACAACAACAATAGCCATCCAAGCGTCCAAACATTCAAACGTCGAAATACAGAGGCACAGACACGCAGACTCACAGACACAGAGACACAGAGACACAGTTGAATCCTAGCCCTCGAGGCGCTGTGAAAAGGCTCTGATCGTTGGCAGCACCCTTTCGCGATGTAGGTGGGAAGATTCACATGTTTGGCCACGGTTTCAGGCTGCCCGGGTGAGGAGCAGTCTGATAAGGTCAGGTGCGACGCCGGTGCCCGCAAGCGTGAAGAACCCGGTGAGCCCCGAGCCGGCAGCGGTGGCTTCACCGTCTCCCTGCGGCGGGGCTGCGTGGCCCCACAAATTGCTGGACAGAGCCAACAGAGAGATTCAGCTGCAGATGGCCAGTAGGGTTCTCGGGGATTCGGGTCGTGTGCATTCCGACAAGTCACAGGAATTTTGAGGTGGTTTTCGTGGAAGGCATGAGCGCAGTCTACAGCAGCCAGAGGTTCATTGAGTCGCGCCTGCGTTTGTCACATTGAGCAGCGCTTGTCTTCGGGGATGTTCCAGGCCGTGTAATGCCCAGCGCTTGGGGTCCTAATCGCTCGTGGGACATCGATGACGAGGCCTTGTAACGGTGGGCTGGGGACCAATGTCGCACACTTCTGTGTTTCACATCCATGGATAAACGTACACGCAAGGCAGAAGAATTGACGAGAGCCCGAGATCACGCCAGGTGACAGACCCTTAGTCGCTTTGGTAAGTGCATTGGAATGGACGGGATGCGCCTTGAAGCGGTTCATCCCAAAAACCGCTGACGACGTTACGGGGCTCCAGCACTTAGCAGTTCGACGCCCCGAAGGCCCAGACCCGTTTTGAGAGCATAAGCCACAAGGTCTGAAACCCAACTGCTGGCCACTAACCCCCTTCCTGTGGCAGACAAGGCCCCATGCACGGTTGGTGTCTTTCAGCCAAAACGGTTGATGGGCGAGCCTCTGCAGACTCTGGGTGTTTTGAGTCAACCCTCTGCGGGCGCCGGGCGACTTGGAACATGGAAAGTGAACCCTGAGCGCACTTTGGCAAGGTCGGATCGCTCCTGCTGTGTGTGTTTTTTAGCATCGGAAGCGCACCTCTGTAAAGTTCCTCCAATCATACTCTTGCTTGCCGATGTTATACGGGTTGTCTGGGTAGTCCTCCAGAAGGCCTTTTTCAACAGGGGTGGGCGCTTCAGCGCATGTCGGCTCCAAGAGTTTGTTTTTTGGCCATGACGCATTTCAAGGTTTAGGCGCTAGTGGGGCATAATGGCGGGAAACAAGTAGGCCCTACCCCAACCACCAGAGAATAGGATGCTTCTCCATCGGCTGAGTGCTTGGGCTTGCTCAACAAGACTGGCCTGCGCAACATGGCAAACACATGTTTTGGCTTGTGGGGGAAGACGCGGCTGTGCGTGTTGATTGTCGGGCGGCGGTCTGCCGGAGGCCGCTGAGGTTGCAAGACCCTATAAACTAGATAGCCTCTCAGGGTTTGGTGAAGGTGGTTGTGCCCCTCACCCAGGTTCCTTTGGAACAGACAACGTTGGGAGCAAGAACCTGGCAATTCCTCGTGGTTTTAAGTCGTGTTGCGTTGGCACGGAGTGGGTTTACAGGCAGCGCCGTCAAAGCCCGTGCTGCGAGGAATTGGAACGGCCACAAGGCTTGCGCAAGGATGGGAGCGCGCGGAGGGGAGGGGCAGCAGGTACAACCACTTCGCGCGGCGGGCGACAGTGTTTGCAGGCGCTTGAGGGCGGGGGGGGGGGCCTTCCCAAGCCAAGGAGGCCAGCTTTGCCTATTCAATCTTGCGGTACAGTATGAAAGCGAGGAAGAACTGAGAATCAGAAGACTCTCAGAGGACCAGAGCTTACGATGATCACGAAGCTGATCTCGTTCTTGATTTGGCACACTCGTCATTCTTGGACGTGTGAAAGGGACCTTCAACCCATCGCCCCGATGCGGATTCTCTCATCAGAAACACACAGATAAGAATCATGTTGACCGGTTGTGCAAGAATATGACCGACGATGACCGTGCGCTCGTAGTCTTGTACTCATCCAAGCAAGAATCCTTGAAGGCTTCATCCACATCCGTGCTCATTGGCAAGAAGCGGAAGGAAGCGACAGCCACTGAGACAAGAGCTTATCAGAAGCAATTCCATGAAGCTAAGCTTCTTGAGTGCAAATCTTGGCTTGATAGCGAAGTGTTCGACTTGGTCGACACACGCAAGATTCATGTCAGGAGAGGTTTGAGAAGTCCCACGCGTCGGCTTGCAAAAGAAGCAGCTCCAGAGCAAGCGAAGGCGGTTTCACCCCTCACTCATACTTGCATTGAGCAATGGGCGATTTAAGCTGGCGCCCTCTCTCTGGCCCTCAATTATGTTTCCCCCTGCCCCGTCTACTGCCCCAGGAGCTGGGCTGAGCAGAATGGGAAAGACGTGGAAAGACGCGGCTTTTGAGTTGTTTTCTCCAACGCTTTGCTTGCCGTTGCTTGATGTTTCCGCACACTTGTATTTTGAACTGTGCTGCTATCCTGTCAACGCCTGTTAACTGAGCACAGGTGCCCCGCCGTCACAGGGACAGATTTTGGAAGGGCCCCAACTTACCGACCCCGGACGAGATTGGGGAATGTAGCCCTTGGTGTTCAGGATTTAGCGTACGTCTTGTACTGCAATTTCCAGAAAATCTCTTTGAGGAGTTCTGTGAACTGGCGCCGAAGCTTCCTTTCATGCTAGCGATGCCTAAGAAACAGCAAACCGCGCAACGGAATAACGTCGGCTCACGCGTGGCCGGTCTGGGCTGGCACTGCGTACTTCACGCGGCGTGCAGTGCTGAAAGGAAGTACGGACCCCTGATACGTCTTACGCGGACCGTAAGAGGAGCACGAAAACAACCAACGCCCTTACACGTTTCCATAACCCCGGCCCGGGCTGGCAGTGCGTACGGACCCTGCCCCCTGTTACGCACCCAAGTTTCGTGTTTACGCGGGCCCGTCCGGGGCTGGCAGTAGTGCGTAAGAGGGACGCGAAACAGCAAAATGCGCAACCAAATAACGTCGCCTTACGCGCGGCCGGCCCGGGCTGGCGGCGCGTAAGTGCACGTGAAGTCAAAATGCGCAACCGAATAAAATCGGCCCACGGGCGTGGCTAGCCCGATGCCGAGATGGGCTTGCACACGCGCGCACACACGACTGAGCAACGCCGAACGCGCTTGCCAGCAGCTCAGATTTCGGAGAATCTTGTGAAAAGAGCGAAACCACTCAACATCAGCGTCGACGAGCCCTCTGCGAAAAGGAGGGGTCGGTAAGTTGGGGCCCTTCCAAAAATCTGTCCCTGTGACAGTGGGCGCCTGTGCTCAGTTAACAGGCGTAAACAGGTTAGCAGCACAGTTCAAAAGTACAAGTGTGCGAAAACATCAAGCAACGGCAAGCAAAGCGTTGAGAAAACAACTCAATAGCCGCGCCTTTCCATGTCTTTCTCACTCTGCCCAGCTCCTGGTCTTGATCCACCAGCTGCTCCTCAAGTCTTGCCAGGGCAGTAGGCGGAGAGGGCGCCAGCGCCACTGCATCCAATGCCAACACACCACCTCAAGCTTAAATCTCGGGGTGTTGGCCCATTGCTCAATGCAAGTATGAGTGAGGGGCGCAACCGCCTTTACTTGCTCTGGAGCTGCTTGTCTTGCAAGCCGACGCGTGGGACTTCTCAAACCTCTCCTGACATGAATCTTGCGTGTGTCGACCAAGTCGAACACTTTGTTATCAAGCCAAGATTTGCACTCAAGAAGCTTAGCTTCATGGAATTGCTTCTGATAAGCTCTTGTCTCAGTGGCTGTCGCTTCCTTCCGCTTCTTGCCAATGAGCACGGATGTGGATGAAGCCTTCAAGGATTCTTGCTTGGATGAGTACAAGACTAACAGCGCACGGTCATCGTCGGTCATATTCTTGCACAACCGGTCAACATGATTCTTATCTGTGTGCTTCTGATGAGAGAATCCGCATCGGGGCGATGGGTTGAAGGTCCCTTTCACACGTCCAAGAATGACGAGTGTGCCAAATCAAGAACGAGATCAGCTTCGTGATCATCGTAAGCTCTGGTCCTCTGAGAGTCTTCTGATTCTCAGTTCTTCCTCGCTTTCATACTGTACCGCAAGATTGAATAAGCAAAGCTGGCCTCCTTGGCTTGGGAAGGCCCCCCCCCCGGCCCTCAAGCGCCTGCAAACACTGTCGCCCGCCGCGCGAAGTGGTTGTACCTGCTGCCCCTCCCCTCCGCGCGCTCCCATCCTTGCGCAAGCCTTGTGGCCGATCCAATTCCTCGCAGCACGCGCTTTGACGGCGCTGCCTGTAAACCCACTCCGTGCCAACGCAACACGACTTAAAAGCCCGAGGAATTGCCAGGTTCTTGCTCCCAACGTTGTCTGTTCCAAAGGAACCTGGGTGAGGGGCACAACCACCTTCACCAAACCCTGAGAGGCTATCTAGTTTATAGGCTCAGCGGCCTCCGGCAGACTGCCGCCCGACAATCAACATGCACAGCCACGTCTTCCCCCACAAGCCAAGGCATGTGTTTGCCATGTTGCGCAGGCCAGTCTTGTTGAGCAAGCCCAAGCACTCAGCCGATGGAGAAGCATCCTATTCTCTGGTGGTTGGAGTAGGGCCTACTTGTTTCCCGCCATTATGCCCCACTAGTGCCTAAACCTTGAAATGCGTCATGGCCAAAAACAAACTCTTGGAGCCGACATGCGCTGAAGCGCCCACCCCTGGTAAAAAAAAGGCCTTCTGGAGGACTACCCAGACAACCCGTATAACATCGGCAAGCGTGCAAGAGATCTTCCGGATTCTGACAGAGAACATCAATATGTAGAGAGTCTGTTCATGATCCTCTTGTCAAGAGATCCTACCAAGAGATTGCTGCCACATCTTGCGCAGGGGTCCTGAAAAAGGTCCTCCCTCAAATATCTTCAAGCGGTCGAGGTCGTCTTGCGCGGGGCCTGCAAAGATATCTTTGCGATAGATCTTATTGAGGGTGCTCCCTACAGATCTTGAACAGAACGCGTGCAGGGGGCATCCAGAAAGGAGATCTATGGGTAGACGCAAAGATGCTAGATAGATGTCTGTCGCTGGAGTTGCATTAAGAGATCCAGCAGAGATCCATTCAACAGATCTTGCGCAGGACCTGCCAAGGTTTCATGTCGAGACATTTCGTAGAGGACGCTCCTTGATCCTGAAGAGAGAGCTTGTAGAGGGTTGTGTTGCAGATTCTGCGCGCAGATCTTGCCAAGTGGACCCAGAGGTGCCGCAAAGATCCTTTCACAGAGATCTTGTCCATTGCTCTTGCACCCTCCATTTTACACGCTGCCTCGCCTGTTGTCTGTTTCAGATCTAATTCATTTGCATTTTCACGCCTCCCCCAACACTGTTTGGATGCTTTTTTCCCCGGAATATAATCTGTAACGCGCGGAGGACGACATGTGGATTAGCGCCGAGGTTGCACCATCTGCCACGTCGGGCGAGGTTGCCCTGTGTCGGGCGGCGTGCCAACCAGCTCACTCCTGTGTCGGGCGGCGTGCCAACCAGCTCAGCTGCTCAGGTGGGGGAGAGCCCCACGACGCGCCTCTCAGAAAACCACCGTCAGTGACGGTCGAAAACTGACCGGTGAAACGATGTAAAACCTACAAATCGGAGTGCAGGGGCAACGAAGCAGTCAACAATTTGATTCGCGTGATAAGTAAGAGGGTCTTGGCAGGCCTGGCAAAACCCCGATTAAGGTTAACCAAAGAGGCTCCAGAAGCCACAAGTTCAAGGGCCATGTAGAGGGTGATGGTCAAAGGGGGGTGCAACGCCTTGCTGTTGAGCCCATGAGGTCGAGCTCTACAGGTGATGGTGCTTGTCATCCGACTCCAATGACAGTGCAACCAGCAAACGATGATCAAAAAAAACGAGTCGCCAGTTGAGCAAGGCAGGGGCCAAGCCTTAAATGTCGGAGATAGCGATTTGTCATCGACGGCAAAGACAGCCCTGATCTGGTGAAAAGGGGTACGCAGGGGTGCGTCCACTCTGTCCCGCAAGCCGCACGATTCACAGAGCCACACGTTCAGTGCGCCTATCCGAGCTTGCGAATGGGCAGCTTGGCTGCCATGGATGATGACTTGTCCGCTTGCTTGGATTGCCAGTTTGACAAGAAAATGCGTTCAAAAGCACGCTCCCAAGTTAAAATGTATCAATTTGCTCTGGACGGTAGAGACAGCCCTGAAACGGGTATGAAGGGGTGACGAGCTGTACGTCCAGTGCGCTCATCCAAGCTTAGATGCCTTGCTCAGGGCCGGACTCGTCACGGTGGTGGGTCTGACGTTCATCATGGTGACTAGTGGAAATTGCAACCCGGCTTCCGACAGAAGAGCGCTCGCACGGCCGGTCTTTTTAATGCGGTAGTCTGTGTGTCTTCAAGGACAACGCAAGAAACTCCCGCCGACTTCCTCTCGACCTGTTTGCAAACAAACGCATCTAAGAGCCCATTCCACAGTTTGGAGAGACTGGGCTAGTCATTCATGGCAACACCCCTACAAAGAGACGAGAGCCGAGCCAGAAGCCTGCACAACTGTTTGTTCTAAGAACCCTGCGTTCAGCTTTCGGTCAATGTCGTCTTCCACATGAATTTTCTGCCGTCGGCAGTCGTGTGGACTTTTCTGAGTTGAAGAGACTTTTGACGGGAGCTGGATTGGAAGCGCACATTAGAGCTTTCGTTGCACACCGGCTGGACCCCTGAGAGCTGCGACGTTGGTCTGTTGTGGAATTGTGTCAGCTGCTCTGCATTCCAGCAGGGCCAACAAGATCTTTGCGGGCTGGGTTGGCTGAAGACACTCTGGAGCCCGGCGCTGCAGCCGCACGCGCGCCTGCGATGTCGGCAGAGCGCCGGTCTTGCTTTCCCTGTCGGGTGCGGAACCGACTGTGCCAGAGCTGGACAATGTTGATCGCAAAATGCTACAATGACGAGATAGCGAAGAAAAAGTAGGCCGTTTCCTTTGTTGATAGGTCTGGATGGTCACTGCAGGTGGAGACCGACAGCCAACGATTACAGTTGGACCCCATAATAATACACGAGTGCTCAATGTTAAGCACGGATGGTCAGTGAGATTGCATCATCTGTTTTTTTTGTGGTCATCTGCACGGGTCGTCTGATGGTCGATCTTCAACATGGACAACTGCGCAGCTTTGGTCTGCGTTCCAGGATAGTCCGGTGGCTGTGGAGAAGCGCAAAAAACGAATCACGCGCGTCGCGTCGAATCCATGTTGGTCAGTGCTGAGCGGGCGCGCGTGAGCGGGCGTGCCTAAGAAGTAGCGTCTGGCCGTGCGCGAGCGTGTGTGCTATTGGCACGCGTGGAGTGTTGCTGCAAGCGGCGCGCGCTGAATGTTGGCGGGTGTTTTCTGGCGCAGTCCATCAACCTTGGGCTTCCATCAGCCTTGGACTCAACCCTGATGTTGCACGGCGCTCAACCCCCCCCCCCGGCGGTTGAAGTAAGAGTCCCGTAAGCAAAGCTTTAATTTGAGGTCAAGCAAGCAGCGCGCCTGTCGCAAGCGCACTGTGTGCGTCAGCCATATGGGGCCCTTTTGCCCTTACAGGTAAGGGTCTTGGAGCTGTCCCGGTCTTTCCCAAAGACCGGAAAGGGCCCCAGCGCGTCGGTGTGCCTTCAAGCTTCCCGCGGCTCGCCCAAACCAACAAGAACATATTGCGAAACCCCAGTAACCCGGCTCGCGTGTGCGGGAAGGAGAGACAATTTGTGTAAAGAAAAGGAAAGCTAGCCAAGCAGTCCAGATGATGAGGCTCAGCGCCTCGCCTTTCCGGTCTTTCACCGGGGCCTTCCCGGTCCTTGCTTGGCGTCTGCGCGATCATGCTTACTTTGCATCTGCAAGAGCTGGCTTCTGCAGCTTGAATTGGTGGCAGGCGCCGTACTTTGGGGGCACATGTGCGCAGATGACTTGCTTGTGGCGGTGGCGTGCGCAGATGCCCCGCTTTTGGCGCGCGCAGCTGACTCGCTTTTGACACCTTTCCCAAACCAGACGGAGCTGCCCCAAGCCAGAGCTGCCACTCTTCAACAACGTGCAAAGGTGAGTGTTGAAGCTAAACACCCCTTGTTCAGCGCTTTGAGTTTCTATGCGATTCTGTCAGCAAAAGAAGTTCCAGCTGGAGGAAGTCAGTCGTGCTTCTGTTGCAAGGCTGTGTGCGATTGTATTTTTACAGCACTGGGTCTGGTTGCAAGACCTAAATTGCTCGACGGCAAGGACTCTACTGCTTTTCGGCAGCTGGTCATGGTGCGGACCATGGGCAAGGCGCCCGCCAAATATGAGCTACTGACAGTGTTGGTACTCTACTGCTGGTAGTCTACTGTTGACATTGGTAGCCCATTGAGTGTGTTGCCATTCCGCTCTTTGTTTGATTGGTAGTTTACTTTTGCTGTAAGGTACGATTGGTAGTTTACTGTTGGTTAGCTTTGTTTGGTTCGGGGAGGGCACGGTGGACCCAGCCAAGTTTCCCACCCCCTTTTGGGAGAAGCAATTTGTCCATTTCCTCCGTGTCCTCTCATTCTGGTTGTAAAGCCGCGCCGACTGGCGGAATAGTGGCTTGACCTCACTCTGGTGAAGTTGGCTCGGCGAAGTGGAAGCCACAGGTCAGCTGTTTTTCATAATTCCTTGGTAGAGGAATTTTTACAGCTTGCGCGTTTGGCAGTGCACAGTAGGTGTCCTCTGGGAAAAATCGGCGAACTCACGGGCACATAATTAGAACCACGTTGAACCAGTGTTGGTGGCCATCGACTGTCATTTAAGCCTGGTCAAAGCTAAGCAGCACTTTGATTTTGCGAGAAACTCACTGCGAGGAAGGTTCCTCGCGTCGGGATTCCTTGCGTTTGTTGCCTTTGACAATTTAGATAGAAAGTGTTTTGGTCTCGTTGGGTCGAGGGTGTCGCTCATTGCTGGTTCGAAGGAAGCTGTTTGCCCTTTTGCCCTTGCCTTTGCCCTCTGTGTGCTGGCCCTTTATCCTGTGTGCTGGCCCTGGCGCAATGGTGCAGTGAAAAACGTGGTTGACGGCGCCCCACGTGTCAACCGGAAAAAAACACGGTTCATTCCCTTAAAAGAAGCCGCAAGAATGGTTCATGGTTGGTGGCAGTGTCTTGACGTGTCTTTCAAGCTTATGCCAAGCATTGGCAAAGCTCGCGTGCCGCAACGCATTGAAGTGAAGCCAAGCAAACCGTCGCTTCGTGAGCGTTGCTGAGAACAAAGGTTGCAAGCTTCCGTCCATCGACAGCTTCCTACTGTATTGCCACGAGCTTGCGTGGGGGTAAAGAAGTTCACCCGAGTGAAATTTCCCTGTATTTCCAGGTCTCCCTATGTTTGCGTAGCGGTGGTGTGCGAATGACTCAGATGTTGGCAGCTAGGGTTATACTGGTGACCATACCCCTGTTGCCCACTCACTTCTCGATTGGTTCTTCGGCTCATTGAATCACAGTCGGGCAACACATGTATCCTGTTGGGCTTCTCATGGCTACTGGGAAAGTAGGTGACGGGTTGACAAAATGATGTTGAACCCTTTTGGTTGGGGCTTGGAACGTGTCTCACAGGAGGTTTGCTTTGGTACGACAACTGAGACATGGGCGGATGGGTTGGGCCAGGACGTTGTGTTTGTTCTCAATGTACGGCTTGAACAATTTCACAACACATTCTCATTTGTCCATGCCTGGCAGGTAGAGAGGGTAGGAGAAAAGAGAACTGAGAGTACTGATCCTGAGGAGACGGGAGAGCGGTAGAGGTAGAGACACTGAGGCAGATAGAGAACAGAGACAGCTAGTGACACACAGCGACAGTGACAGTCGGACGGACGGACCGCCAGACAGACGCGGAGAGGCAGACACAGAGGCAGGACAGACAGCGAGAGAAAAAGAGAGACAGAGGGGCAGAGAGAGCGAGCGAGCAGCAGGGAGCGTGAACTTAGCCAACTATTGGGTCGGTGGGGACAATTTGTGTTTCAGCCCATGTTTATTGTGTACACAATAAGCACGTGGCATTCCAGGCATCCATTCTAACTTCCGACTCTAATGGTGTCCCTTGGCTGTTGACAGTTGCTTAGGAAGCGTGAAGGCGACCGGGCAACCCTTGGAAGAGGCCCCACGCACCAGCGGCTTCCGTTGAAGGGGGCGGCCTCAGCGCCAGCCAAAATAGGACTTCATTTTTCCCACGCACGTGCATCCACTAGGCCAACCCGTTTTTCAGGTGATTTGCGAGCTGAAGGACCTTCAGGAGGCTGTCGCAAATCGACGTGGATTCAGTTGCGGCTGGTTGCGGTTTGTGGTTTCTATTTGGTTTCCCAGATGGTTGATGGTCTTGTTTTTGTTTGGTTTCTACCAAGCTTCCTTGTTATGGGCTGTTTGACATGACAGGCGGTTAGCGATTGTTCTTTCACTTGTTAAAACTGGTCTTTTGGCCCGTGTTGTGCCAGCCAGGGGCCGCTTTGCTCTTGGGACTCGGGGGGTTAGGTGGTCTCTTTCTTTTTGGTGGCCGCAGGCTCGTCCTCCAGGTACCTATTTAACTAAGTAGTTGTAGGAGTCATGGCGGACATGGCCCCGCAGTCGTCACCGGTGAATGGATCCTGGCAGGCAGGGATCACGGACGTTGCGTGCTAACGACGCCCACGCTCCCGGCAGGTCGCTCCTTCCGTCTGGGATGTCTGGTGCAAATCGATCGGCGCATGAGCCCCGAATACTGTGAGGCAGAGCGCTTTGACTTTGACTGGCATGAAGTGATTTTTGAAGGTGGTGCTGATGAACCCGGAATTGCTCCTGGAATTCCATCCTCAGCTTTCCCAAAAGCTATGAATGCTGGCCAAGCGACCAGCCTCAATACAGGCGAAAGCAGTATGCCTGCTGCTACCGTGGACTTTGGCTATTGATTCTAGTCAATAAAATTGAAATCCTTTTCGAACGGCCTTTTCTCAACAAATAACTGATGTTGTTTAAGAGCTCTCAAATCAATACCAAACGGCTTCGAATCAAAAACGGCAGCCCCGGCGCAACAAACACAATCAATAGCGCAATCTGTAGAAACCACAGCTGTGTTTTTTTGCAAAATCATATGCCAAACGCAAGGAAAGGAAAGGGCGCGACAGGAAAGGAAAGGAAGGAACAGATAGAGTCAGCCGGGCGTGTCCCTGAGAACAATTTCCGGCTATGCAAAGACAGCCGCGGAGGTCCCGCAGTGTGTTGCTTGGCAACACAGTGTTGGCTGCGACGTATCTCGGACCTTGCGCTGGCCATCGCGTGCGCAACACTGACCCGCGCTCCCCCGCTGGAAAACAATTACTGGGCCCTCGTTTCTGACGCTCCTTGGTAGCGCGCGTTAAAGATTAGGCCTTTTGCGAATGTGTCAAAAAGCGTTCCGTGCGCAAGGCAGGAAAATCAGGCAGCAGAAGGAGCTATTTGCGAGCCTGAGCGTTGCTTTGGCAAGCTTGTGTGTCCTCTTTACTGAAGAGCCCGCAGGGCTGGAGATCTGGCAAGGCAAGTTAGCCTGTTGGAAATGGCTCCGCGCCTGTGTCTGCCACGACGCGCAAGGCGTCTCGTCCAGAAGCGCTGCTAAACTGAACAGCGGATGACCGTGTTCCAACACAACAATCCTGGCACATGTCCTTGCCAGCTCTCGAAGAAGACAGGAGCTTAATCGGAGTTCCCAGCTGCGCTGCGCAACCACCAAGTGGTGCTTCAGCCCGCGTTGCTAGCCACTTCCGTTGCAGGGTGTCAAGCCTCTGGCGGAGTACTGCAACCGTTGCGTGAAGCAGAGTTGTGTGAATTCGAACAATTAAAGTTCTGTTCGTGGGATTTGGCCTGTTTTTCGTGACAAATGTCCTTTTTTTTCTGGTGCTATGATGCAAATAGATTTGGATGGGCTAGCCCGCACCCTGTAGAAAGGCTGGCTAGCCAGCCAAAAGTTTTGATGCAAATGTTTTGTGGCTGGCTCCATTTTTTCATGATCTTGTCAGATTCTTGGCAGCTGGTTTGGTTCATCCATTTGCCCTCTCATCCATTTGCCCCTCATCATGGCTCGTCGTGAGGATCGCCCTGCGACTCTGCCTTTGCAAGGTGAACCTGCTGCGCAGAGTTCTTGGATGCGCTCGCGGCAAGTGGTGGCCTCTGACCATGTGAGCCAAGCGTACTGGTCGCTGTTTCGTGATGAATGGCTGGAGCTTGCCCTTGTACAGGGACTAAAAGTCTCCATTGGGCCTGGCATGCTCCGCTACACCATGCGAACTGATGATGACGGCGCCTTGTTCTTTTACATCTCCTTGTGGCCAGACTTTCCTTCATATGCGATTCCTGTGCATGTGCCTCATATCACCTTGGCGTACAAATGCACTTTTGAAAGCAGTGAAGTCATGTACCGCTCCTACTTTGCAGCATTGAAACTTTTGCTGCCACGGCAATTGCATGTTCGCTTGTCCGCCTATGGCGCAAGTAGCTTCAAGATCACTGAAGGCACTGAGTTCCACTTCTTGCTGCAGGAAATTCAGCGGAAGATTCGCAAATATGGCAATTTGGCTGAAGCTCCTGACAACTTGCACATGACATGGGTGGACATTTGAAATTAATTACACTGTTTTGCTTTGGATCAGGTATGTACAATTCAATGTTCAACATGTTTCAGGTTTTCATTCCGCCTATGTTTTGCATGCAGCAGTATCATATGGACATGTCCGATTCGGGAGCCTCGAACCCAAGAGAAAAATGAATGATAGCGCACTTCAAGGCTGCGACCTGTCAGTTTGATCCATCAGCCTTGCAGGGTTTGGCAGCAAACATGAAACATAAGGTTGCCAAAATGTCCCCCTTCAATTTTCTTGGTTGTGTTACTTGCAGGTTTGGTCTCAAACTGCCACTTGACACCAAACACTGGCTAGCCAGTATTGTACTGTCATGTGTCCACTGTCACATTGAGCAACTTGTGATTGACCCATCTTGCATGTTTCTTGCATCCTGGTGTCATGGATGTGTCTCATGGAAGCGGCTAGCCGCCAGTCATTCTGCTTGTGGTTTGCGCTGTGTGTTGCAAATGGTGGCTAGCCACCATAGTAGTGCAAATTGTTCCCTGCAGTGGCCAGGCTTGCTCTTGCCCTTTGATATTTCACTTTTGGGCAGCCAGCAGTGCATTTTGCATTCCGGTTTCTGATTGCTTTCATTTGGCATTCTTGTTTCATTTGGCACCAGTTGGTGGGGAAGGCCAGTAGTTTGAGTCATGTCGGCTGGCTCTGACATTGAGCTGCCGCCTTCCATCCTTCCAAGTGATGATGGCTCAGATGAATCTGCAGTGGAGTTGCCAGACCAGATCTTGGCTGCAGAGCCTTGCTGCGCAAAGAAGTGCACAGACCAGCTCTCCTCCTTTGCAAAGGAAGCCAGCAGCAGGTTGACATGCGCCCGCCGCAAGGTCTTCCAATGGCATGGCCATGATCTATGCTTGCGTGGCTATTGCTTTGTCAGTGGCTGTCCACGAAAGAAGGCTCAGCATTATTTGCAGGCCATTGCTGCAGGCGAGGTTATCGTCCCTCCTGCTGATGGCCGCAAGGCCCCGCTCAAGAAAGCTGAGCCGAAGACTGATGATGTCGATGCCTTTTTCTGTTTCATCTATGACAACCTGGCCGAACCTCTGGCATCAGTGGCAGGTGGCCATGACATTGCAGACATTGCAGATGAGACAGACATTGCAGATGAGTCGCAAGTGGTGTCTGCCCCGGACTGGCTGGTTTGCAAGGACTTCTTAAATACAGCGTCATTGGCAATCACAGCACTGAAGTCAGGTGAGAAGCCAGCAATTCAGAAGCTTTGGCTCCCAACCATGACTCCGTCAGAGATTTTTGACCTGTACAAGGACATGCATTGTGACCACCAGGAGCTGGCAAGTTGGTCCACCTTTGTGCGTGTTTGGACACGTTGGCAAGCCATCCTTGGAATTCGGCCACCTCAAGTTCACAGCCGTTGCGATGACTGTGCCAAGTACAGCAAGTTCAGGCGCCTGCAGACGAGCGCAGCAGATTCACAGGCCGTGACCTTGGCCTACAACAAGCACATTCGAGAAGTGTTTGCGGACCGTGGCATCCTGACCAGCTTGGAAACCATGGCTGAGCAAGCTGCCAGAAATGATGATTTGCAGCTGCCGCACTTGGTTCTGACCATTGATGCCATGGACAAGTCGAAATGGCAAGTGCCAAGACAACTGGACAACACAAAAAAGCTGTCAGCTTTGTGGCGCCCGTGTATGCATCTTGTTGGAGTTATTGTTGCTGGAGTCCTTGAGTACTTTGCTGTCCTGGAGGCCGATGTGAAAGGTGACAGTGACACCCAACAGACCCTTCTTAGCCGTGCCCTTGAGCTGACTGAAGAGGAACTGCGTCGTCGTGGCAAATCAATGCCTCCAAAGGTCATTTTGCACAATGACAATACATCCAAGGAAGGGCGCAATTCCATGCTTTTGCAATTTGCAGCTGCCCTGGTAGCAACACAGCGGTTTGAGGAGGTGTCCATTGCAATGTTCAGAGTTGGGCACACACATAATCGGCTGGATCAGAGATTTTCTTGCGTTGCCAAGCTGCTTGCCCGAGCTTCTTGCTTAGAAACCCCTGCCGACTACAGCTTCTTGCAGGAACATTACAAGCCGGCTCGCAATGTGAAACTTGTGATTGAAGAAGTTGCAGGGGCACATCATTGGCGTGAGTTCTTTGGGCATTTGGGGATGCACTTTGCAGGATTGACCGGCACCCGCACCACTGCTGATGCAGCCCATCTACTCCGTGTGGTTCGGAGGGACTCAGTGAAGTCCTGTGTCCCAGGCATCCCCTTTGAGGAGGATGGCCAAGGCCAAGGCAGTGACCCAGTCTTGCTTGCAAAGCATTGGCTTTGCTCAAAGGCGCTGAGCCAACCACCCACTGTTCTTCTTGAAGGTGATTTGGGCTTGGACTTCTCAAAGCTCCCTAGGATGGTGGCCCCTCGCACCTTGCTCACTGATGAGTCAGCCAAGCAGTACCGGCGGACAGCCGCGCAAGTTCTCGAAGCACCTTGGCAGCTGGAAGCAGCTGCTGCTTATTTGATGTCCTGGCTCCAAAGGAATGCAGGACAAGCCCAGCAGCAGCCATTGCCGGAAATAAGCTTCATTGTCGAGGGTCGGGAGTTCTTGCCAGCATCACTTGTTGCTCCTGCCACTTGGAAGGATTTTGCACCCAACGGGGCTATTCCTGTGAGGCCTGTCCCCAAGAAACAAGCTGT